ACTGGATACTGGTTACTGAATATTGCATATGCAATACTGGATACAGGATATTAAATATTAAATATGGGATACTGAATACAGGATATTAAATATTGGATATAGGAAATGAGATATTGGATGTGGGATATTGATTATTCACTATTGGATATGGGACATTGGATATGGGAAACAGTATGTGGAATATGGGATATAGAAAACTAGATAGGGGATATTGATTATTAAATACTGGATGTGGGATACAGGATATTGGATATGAGATATTGGGTATTACATACTGGATATTGGTTACTGCATATTGGATATTGATTACTGAATACGATATATGGGATATTGGATATGGGATATTAAATATTGGATATAGGAAATGAGAAATGGGATATTCGATATGGGATATTGATTATGAACTATTGGATATGGGACACTGGATATTGGATATGGGATATTTAATATTGGATATCAGATACCGGATATTGAATATGGGATCTTGGATATGGGATATAGAAAACTGAATATGGGATGTGGGATACGGGATGTGGGATATTAAATATGGGATATTGATTATTAACTATTGGGTATGGAATATGGAATATTGGATATGGGATATCAGATACGGGATATTAAATATTGGATAGGGGATATTGATTATTAATTATCATATATGAGATGTGGGATATTGAATACGGGATATAGAATATTGATAATTAAATACTGGATATGGGATGTGGGATATTAAATATGGGATATTGATTATTAAATATTGTATGTGGGATGTGAGTTATTAAATATGGGATATTAATTATTAAATATGAGATATGAGATGTGGGATATTGAATATGGGATATGGAATATTGATTATTAAATACGGGATATGGGATGTCAGATATTAAATATGGGATATTAATTATTAAATATGGGATGTGGGATGTGGAATATTAAATATGGGATATTAAATACTGAATATGGTACATGGGATATTAAATATGGGGTACTGATTATTACATATCGGATATGGGATGAAATATTGGACACTGGATATGAGATCCAGGATACTGGATATCAGATATTCCCTTCCAGCTAGGAATTAACTCCAGGAAAACCGGCAGCACCAAAGGCTCTGAAGCCACCCGGAGCTCATTCCCTGGATTGATCCTCACCAGGAATTCCCTGCAAAATTCCTTGGCAAACACCCGGAAACCTTTGGAGCCGGGAATTCCCCGCCAGCACCCACCTGCCGGCCAGAAATCCCCCTGGGGAGATTTCCCGGCTCCGGCAAATCCCAGCGCATCCTCCAAGAACTGGATTTTCCTGCTGAACTGCATCTCCAGGATGGGAATGGCCTCCGGCATGCGCGCCGCCAGGAGGCGGCAGGAAATGTCGGGTTTCCCGATGAATCTCTGCCGGACGCTGATCTCGTACGGAGTGTGAACGCGGATTTCATCCACATCCCGCGATTGGAAGCGCTGCAGGAGTTGGGAATTGCAATCCCTGATTTCCAAGCCGGATGAAAGCACGGTGAGTTTTCCTGGTTTGGCGTTGGAATCTGGCCCGTGGGTGATGATGACGGGAATTCTCAGCAGGATTCCTTCCTGGATTTTGGGATCGGGAGGAGCGGGGTTTTCCTTCGGTTTCGCTTCCAAAGGGTTTTTCCAGAGTTTGATGCTGAAGGGCCACCAGGAAGGAGATTCCAGCTCTGTCAACAGCCTGGAAAGAGGGAAAGGTGAGTTTCTCCCAGTTCCCTGGATCGGGAGAGGGAAAATCTCCAAGGAAATTCCCACAGACACGGAAATTCCTTAATCCCAAATCCAGCCCGTTATTCCCTCCTCAAAGCCACCCAAGCTTTCCCAGGATCCAGGCGGTTCAAAGCCCGCCCTCCCCTCATCATCCATCGGAAAAATTCCCAGAATCCCTGCTGGGAAGGAAGGAGCTGGAAGTGGATTTTTCCAGGTCTATATTCCCACTCCTGCCCATCCAAGGTTTTTTCCTGCTCCTTTTCCTTCATCCCCTCAGCCTGATGTCGCTTTTTCTTTTGCTAGACACCCAAATTCCCAGAAAAAACACAAAAAATTCCAGATTGAGGCTTCAAAATCCAGCAGAAACTTCCCAGGAATGTCCAGCCTGCAGCTCCCTAAGGAAAACATTCCCAGAAAACGAGGCAGGGGATGGAACTGTTCAGGTTCCGCTCCTGCTCTAAGGAGAAGGGAAATATTCCCAATTTTTTCAAGGGAAAACCAACCATCATCCCTAAAATCCCAATTTCATTCCGTTTTCATTCCCTGCTTTAAGTCCATTAAAACTTTGGGATACTCCCAGGAATTCCCTGCTCCGTAAATTCCATAAAAACTGGGAAGAGCCACTGGAATTTCTGCCGGAGCTCTGAGCTGGGGAATGTTTGGCTGCCCAAAAATCCATGGAATTCCGAGTCCTTTCCCATTCCTTCCCTCTCCTCATGCTCCAGAGGCCACGTTCCCCTCGTTCCCGCTGGAATTTTATCCGGAGGCTTCAAAGATCAGGAAACGCTCGGCAAAAATATTCCCAAGGAACCCCGGCTGTTCCCATTCCCACCAATTCCAGCTTTTCCCTGGGGCTGGAATATCGGGATATCCCAATCCTGCCATGAGCTCATCCTGTTCAATCCTGTTCAATCCCAAGGGTTCTTTAAAGGTTTGGGGATATTCCTAGGAAATTGAGGCGAAGGTTTTCCAGGGAAGCTGTGGGGAAAAGGGTGGGAAAGGAAAAAGGCGGGAAAGGAAAAAGGCGGGAAAGGAAAAGGGCAGAGAGGAAAAAGGGAGGAAGAAAAATGATGGGAAAGGAAAAAAGGTGGGAAAGGAAAAAAGGGCAGGAAAGAAAAAGGGCGGGAAAGGAAAAAGGCGGGAAAGGAAAAAGGTGGGAAAAGAAAAAGGCGGGAAAAGAAAAAGGGTGGGAAGGAAAAAGAGCGGGAAGGAAAAAGGCGGGAAGGAAAAAGGCAGGAAGGAAAAAGGCGGGAAGGAAAAAGGCAGGGAAGGAAAAAGGCAGGGAAGGAAAAAGGCAGGGAAGGAAAAAAAGGCGGGAAGGAAAAAAGGCGGGAAGCAGCAGGCAGCACCAGGGATTTCCCAGGAATGGCAGCAGGGATGGGCTCCATTTATCCCGAGTTTTATTCCCACAGAGCCAGGCACGATGGGAAGAGGAGATGGCGGCGCTCCCGAATTCCCACAGTTGAATTCCCAACATTTCCAGCCCGTGGGCACAGAAGGCCTGGATTGGGAGGGATCCTAAGGATTGTCCCATTCTATGGCAGGGAATTCCCAGCCCGGCCTTGGGCACTGCCAGGGATCCAGGGGCAGCCCCAGCTGCTCTGGGAATTCCAGCCCAGCCAAGAATTCCTTCCCAAAATCCCATCAAACCAGCAGGAAGCCATTCCCTGGATCCTGTCCCTTATCCCAAATCCGTCTCCAGGCCCTGGAAGGGCTTCTGAGCTTTCCCTGGAGCTTTTCCATGAACATTCCCAACTCCCTCAGCCTTTCCTCCCGGAGCTGCTCCATCCCTCCAATGAAAAACCCTAAAATCCCCAATTTTCACTTCCCAAAGACCTCCCCAAGAAATTCCAGCTCCGGGAACGTTCCCATTTCGTACCTGTCGGCCACATCCATGTCCCCCTCGATTTTGTGGAGTCCCCTCATGATGGAATCGAACTGTTCCCCTTGGGAATGCAGCACCTGGGCTGTGTCCTGCAGGCGTTTCTGGGATCCCTCCAACATTCCCGTTAATTCCTTCCCCTTTCCGTATTCCAACGCCGCTCCCGCACCGGCCTCGGAGAGCAGCTGCTCCCTCCAGAAATGCTCCAGGATATTAAAAACCACATTCCTGTTGGGATGCAGGGAACTGAACCAGTGCTTGCTGCTCTTCTCCAGGATCGTCAAGGAGCTGAAGACGAAATGGGAAAATTCCTTCTTGATCTCGCTGATCCCGGAAAGTCGGAAATCCGCCAGGAGCTCCCCGCTTTTGTCAGCCGTGAATCGGATGGAAACGGGAGTCAGGGAGAGCTTCCCGGGAATCCATTGTTTGTTGCTGTCCAAATAATAGGAGCAAGGCCAGGAATGGATCCGGATGTCCTCGCTCATCCGCTCGCTCTTCCCGGTTTCCTCGTCCCGGGAAACGCTCTCGGATCCAGCGGGAGCAACTGGAATCCGTGGGAAAAGTAAGAAAAAATGGGAATTCTTAATAAACGGGTTTTTTTGGGATAGTTAAAAAAATTGGGAATTGTTTTTAATCATGGCTTCCTATGGAAAACCCCATCAATGCAGTCAGCCGGTAATTCCATGAATATCCTGGAATATTCCCAGCTCGTCTCGGTTTGCCACAGAGCAGCAGGGATGGAGGAAAATCCCAAAATTCAAGATTTCCTCTGGAAAAGCCCAGTGACATCACTGGCTGTGCGTTTTCCTGATAATTCTGTGAATATCCTGGAATATTCCCATTCCCAGCTCATCCTCGGCTTCCCAGAGATTGGTGGGTGCTGAGGAAAATCCAGGAGATCCCAAAATTCCAGCTCGTTCCTTGTTCTAAATCCCTGCTCCCTCCCCTTCCCCTTTGGCAGCTCAACTTACAGGCACGGATTCCAGGAATTCTCAATATTCCTCAGGAATAGACAATATTCCCCAGGAATTCCCAGTATTCCCCGGGAATTCCCAATATTCTCCAGGAAATCCCAGTATTCTTCAGGAATTCCCAGTATTCTCCAGGAATTCCCAGTATTCCCCAGGAATTCCCAGCATTGCCTGGGAATTCCTAATATTCCCCAGGAAATCCCAGTATTCCTCAGGAAATCCCAGTATTCCCCAGGAATTCCCAGTATTCCCCAGGAAATCCCAGCATTCCCTGGGAATTCCCAATATTCCTCAGGAATGGTCAATATTCCCCAAGAATTCCCAGTATTTCCTGAGAATTCCCAGTATTCCTCAGGAATTCCCAGCATTCCCTGGGAATTCCTAATATTCCTCAGGAATTCCCAGTATTCTCCAGGAAATCCCAGTATTCCAGTATGAGGAAATCCCAGGAATTCCTGTCCTGCCAGAGGTACAGAGGGAATCCCAAGAATTCCTGTTGTGGCCAAGGGGAATCCTGGAATTCCTGTTCTGCCAGAGGTGCTGAGAAAATCCTGGGAATCCCAGACAAAATCCTGGGAATCTCTGTTCCACCAAAGGTACTGAGGGAATCCCGGGAATCCCTGACAAAATCCCAGGAATTCCTGTTCTGCCAAAGAGAAAATACCAGGAATCCTTGATGGAATCCTGGGAATCTCCATGGAAATCCTGGGAATTCCTGCTCTGTACTATCCCAGGATGCTCCAAGCCCCATCCAGCCTGGCCTTGGACATTCCAGGATCCAGGGGCTTCTCTGGGAATTCCATCCCAGCCAGGAATTCCCGATTTTCCATCCAAGCAGTGGGAGCCATTCCCTGTGTCCCTCCATCCCTTATCCCAAATCCCTCTCCCTCCCTTCAGGCACTCGAAGGATCTTTCCCTAATCCCAGAAAATTCCTCGTTTTTTCCCAATCCCACTTGGAAAAGCCACAGGACAAACCCCAAACCATTCTCTGGCTCTCTGGCTCCAGAACTTCCCTCTCTTCCCATGGAATTTCAGAATTGTTGAGGTTGGAAAAGCTCTCCGAGGCCATCGGATCCACCCCGTGCCCGATCCCAGAGCCACCTCCAGGAATTCCTTGAACACTTCCAGGGATGGGGATTCCAAACCTCCCTGGGCAACTCCTTCCAGGAAGGAATTTTCCCAAAATCCAACCTCAATTTTCCTCTCCTCCTGTCCCCGTTCCCTGGGAGCAGATCCTGAATTCCCCTCCTCTCAGGGACATCCCTCTTTTCTCTGGGATCAACATTCCCAGCTCCCTCAAGAGTCCCCATTCCCACAAATTCACCATTATCCATCAATTTACTGGATTATCCCAATCCCCTCCCAGCTCATCCCTTCCCTATCCCTAAATTCCAAATCCCAATAACCAAATCCTGGCTTGGCTTCCGAGGCCTCTTCCAGCCTTCCCTCGCTCCCAGCCCAGGATGGAATTCCTGGAGCTTCCCAAACCCCATTCCCAGCTCCCAGTTCTCCCAATCCCCATTCCCAGGTTTCCCAATCCCCATTCCCAGTTCTCCCAATCCCCATTCCCAGCTCCCAGTTCTCCCAATCCCCATTCCCAGTTCTCCCAATCCCCATTCCCAGCTCCCAGTTCTCCCAACCCCCATTCCCAGTTTTCCCAATCCCCATTCCCAGCTCCCAGTTTTCCCAATCCCCATTCCTGGCTCCTCGTTTTCCCAATCCCCATTCCTGGCTCCTCGTTTTCCCAATCCCCATTCCCAGCTCCCAGTTTTCCCAATTCCCATTCCCAGCTCCCAGCTCTCCCAATCCCTATTCCCAGCTCCCAATTCTCCCAATCCCCATTCCCGGCCCGGAGCCGATGGCGGTGCCCGCTCCGGAGCCTCCCCAGCCCAGGGTTCGAGTCCCGGCCCCGACAGCAAACCCAGCCCGGCCCCGCCAGACCGGGATTCAGAGGTTCGAGACCCCCCGGTCCCGGTCATGGATCGGAGCCCCCCAAACCCCACCCCGTGACCCCTCAGCCCCATTTCCAACCCCGAT